AGAACTCTCAGACTCTTAGGCTACTCCATCAGCTTCCCAACTGCCTGGAGCTACACATATGTTTAAAGTTGGGAATCAAAATAAATAAGTGCAAACAAAATAAACACAGAAATTTGTAATATTTTTATAAAGAATGACAACAGAAACTACAGCAATCGTAGAAGAGAAATGCACATTCCTGGATGAAAAGTTGCCAAAAGAAAGGTTAAGGAGATAAAAGATCTAAAGGGTAGGTCAGAGAGAAAATCGTCCTTGTTAGAACAAGAGAGAGGCAAAGAGTATGAGAAAGGGAGGTAAGGAGAGAAAGAACCTTTGAGGAAAATATTGCATGAAAAGTTACTTTTGAATCAATACATTTGATGTATTTACATACAGCTGAAATGAAGTTGACCAAATTGAGCTTTCATAAATTGAACCATAACTGTCATTTTATAAACATTGACAAAATAAAGGTAACTTACACAGACCAAAAGAATGTTCCGGCTCTCACCCCTTGCTTGATGGCTGTAATCCATAGCTAATGAGGAAAATATAAGAGGCTTATAATACATTCTGAGTTCTGGTTAAGGAAGAAAAATACTAAAATACATTAGATGTGATATGCTATACTCTATTCATGCTTACCATAAATTTCACAGGATTTCCAGCCTTTTTTTTCACATCTGGAAGTCAGACTCATTATTTCCATAATGTTATTCAATACATATTCTGCAAAAAGTTCTCAAAAGCCTTTCTGTGATGCTACTGACCATTCATGATTTTATTTCATCCCTTCTATAGACAGGTCTTCTATACCTGTCTCTTCTGATAACTGTTTTAAGCATTGCTTATGGGGCGGAATTCTGCTCATCAAAGGATGCAGGGATAAAACCATATGTTTCTGTTACTACTGATGGCCTTTTGGAGTGGAGTCCCAATTTGGTATCCAGATGTCAAAGTCGTAAAATCTGGCTTGCCATGTTTGACTTCAAACTAGATGAATGAGGGAAAAAAGAACTAAAAAGACTACTTTTAAGGTGTCTTTTGTATTGTCTATCTAGCCTTTTTTTTCTAGAGGAAATGGAGTTCTAGAGGAAAGTTTGTGGGATAAATTGAATGAATAAAGCATTCCATGAAGAATATTTTTAAATATTTTCTGTAAACAAGCCATTGATGTATACCTGCAATCCCAATACTAGGGAGTCTGAGGCAAGAGGACAAGCCTAAAATACATAATGAGGTTTATTATTATTATTATTATTATTATTATTATTATTATTATTATTATTATTATAGCTCATTTTTATAAGAAGTGGAAGATGAAAGAGTTCAGAAGCCAGGCTTTGCACCTTTGCAGCCTGCACCTTGACCCCTACTTCTGTCACTGAACAAATGCAGGCAAGAAAGTAGCTTCATCTTTTT